ATTTACAAATGGGGATGAAGTAGAAGCTTTAATCATTACAACTATATCGAATAAATGGACAACAATGAAGAAAATTTGTGAAAAATGTAAAGACAGTGTAAAAAGAAAGAAAAATTGCATTTTGAACTATTATGTGTCGACACATGCTGCTATGCATCGACACATAACTCTTCTTGCTCCTGTAAAACAAAATAAACTCAGTATGAGTCGATGCATAATGAGATGTGTCAACTCATGCACCTATTTGTGTCGATACATACGTGTTTTGTATTGACTCATGCACCTTTCATCCTTCTGTTTTGGGGCCTGGATAACAGTATGAGTCGATGCATAAGGCCATGTGTCGACTCATACCTTGTTTTGCCACTAGAATGAGTCGACCCATGTGGGTATGTGTCGACTCATGCTGTAATTTTTTGCCCCTATCATCATTCTTTTACATGTATCAGTCACTTTTCAACATATAATTGATAAAAATGAACAACAAGTAAATGGTTAACTTCAAAGGACAATGATTACTACATTTTATCTTCAAGAACGAATCATTAGTGATGTATAAAAAATGCAAAGTCAATAAGACTTACCTTGAGACTGCACTTAGTGTTTTGAGTCTGAATACTTTTCAAGACACTGTGATGGCTCCAGTGAATCTCCAGGAAGTTGTTCCAAACCGTTGAATCACACCAACCCAGTCAAGTTGTACAACACTGTTTTTTTGTGTTTGGAAGGGGGAAATAATGGCACCACAGAAACTGTTCTTATGTTTGAACAATCTCTATGTGATGTGAAGTGTTTGGCTGGTTGGTTTATGGGAGAGTTTGTAAGATGGAATAACGGGTTGAGGTTTTGTTTTTTGTGACTGAGAATAAAGATGAGTATGAGCAAGGGTCTTTTGTGAATGAGCAGAGTTTACAAAGAATGCTATTTTTTCTGTTCTCTCTTTTTTCTCTCTAGCCAACCTCTTTTTTTCTCCAAAAATCCCCCCTTGTGTGTTGTGAGAACAATTTATTTTATAGATGAAGTTTGGCTGAGATTTGGGGGGGAAACAAATAAGTTTTTGAACAGTTTGGGTATGTTGTATCATTTCCTTTTAGATGCAGCTTTCATATGCAAATTTGGTGCAAACATGGGACTGGGATAATGCATGCTTGGACTGGGTTGGTAGTAGCATAGAAGGGTTGTTTTTGCAACAGTTTTGGAGTGTTGTGGCAGCTTGGTGCATGGATGTTTCATAGAAGTACAAAAGACTGTTTTTGACACGGTTTTGGGCTGTTATATAGACAATACATCATGCTTGGACTTGGAAGCATATAGGACTTTGTTCAAAAGTAGTTTGGACATCATTGTTTGTAGCATGACATAAGTTTGTTTTGTGGACAACATAGTGGCAAAGTTTGGACATTCAAACAAGACAAAGCTCAGGGTTTATAATCTTGCAAAAATGCAAACTTGTAATAACTTGAATTATTTGTAACACCTTGAATTATTTTGAATTATAATGAAAAAAGATGTCATGAGGTAATGAGATTAATCATGTGTAGAAAATGCTTAGAAATTTTTTCCAAGTCTTGCAAAGTTTTATTTTTGACCTTCTTGATTTTTTGATGATCAAATTTCATATTTTGAACATCTTGATGAAATGAGAGGGCAAATTTTGGGGTACAACATTAATCAATTAATACTTTTGTAAACCTAATAATCAATTAAATAATGCCATAATTGATTAGTTACAATTCCATTTAAAACCTTTCATATTTGAAATGCATAATCGATTATGTTATAAGATAATCGATTACGAGCATTAAAAAGCCCATGGATTCTTTCCATTTTTGAGTCACACTTTGTTCTATAAATAAAGAGATCATTTATGGTTTCATTCACACCAAAAAACATATTTTGAATACTCTTTCTCAGTCTTCACGCTCTTCTCTCTCTTTATTTATTCTTCACTTTTACCTTAGTGCTTTGAGAGTGAAATTTGTCCCTGAGTGGGTTTTAGATTTAGTCTATGCACCTTTTTGTGTATCAATCTTCTTTTAATACATATTACTTTTATAAAAAATATATCTATGGGGTGTTTGGTTCTAGTGTTAGGGCAATTTTATAATATCTCTTGTGATATTTTATTGCTTGATTTATGTGTAAACTAAGTTAAAAATCTCTTAATTGATTTGTGTGGTTGTCCGTCAAAATCTCATGTTTGGTTAGTGAGTTTATCTCGGTGTTAAAAGCTCACATTGGTTTGTGATATTGTCTGTCAAAATATATATTTGGTTTATGAGTTACACCTGGTATAAAACCTCTTGTTTGGTTTAGGATTAACCTTATACATAATCTTTTGTTTGGTTTCGAGGATAGCCAGTGTTAAACTCCAAGTTATGTTGTAAGAAGGTTCATTGGCATAAACTGTGAAAAACTCTCATATATAGTGGAAGTCTCAAGAAGGAATTCTTAGGGAGAAGACGAAGGGCAAATGTTTAGGACGGACCTTTATAAATCTCTTGTGCATTCTTCTTATCCCTTATCTCTCTTTATTTTCATTGCTTGTATATTTCTGATGTGTTCAAATTTTTTTAATTATGATTTCCTTTCATTTGCTTATTTGGCTACTTAGTCTTTTAAAAATTGTTTAGACAATTACTTTTACAAAAGATTTTTTTTAATAGGACATCATTTTTAGATGCAAAATTTCACCCCACCCCTCTTGTGTTTAGAGTCAGTTGTTTATTATGGACATTGTCCACCAATAACCGTCTCTTCTTACGACATTGATCATTTAGAAGAACATCCCAACGACTGGCCCCACAAATGACTAGGATGGTAAAAGCTCAACGAGCGTAATACGCCATGTTCAAAAACTATTCTCAAGAGATTCGACTGTTATATTGGCAAGGCAATAACAATCCTCTTATAAAGTAGGCGTCAGATGCTTTTTCGGATATCGCTAGGACAACTCAAACTTACATCTTCATTCGGTGAATTATTTTCATGATTTTAGTTGAATCTACATATAACAACTATCAAAATGTCAAAGAAATTGTCGAGAATAACAATCGACACTAAAGGATATAGGAAATATGAGCTTACCAAAAATGAATTCATATCTTTCTTGGTATAGGCGCTATCAATGGGTGGGGGTTTCTATAATCCATTTCAAGCGTTTCTTCGAGGCATCATCCCGAGGCTCAACGCCCCCGACATAACCTGACTCTTTGAAAAATGTGAATAACCTCTTTTTTTAGGTAAAGTCCTCATACGACAAGTCATTATCCTTGTACACATATAACTCATTCCCCCTAGTAAAAAATGGTCTTAGTTTTAAAGCTTATGAAATAAACTCGTACATCAATTTTATGTATTAGTCCATATGGCACATACCTTCGCACGAGTATCTTTGTTAACGAGTGGCAAAAATAATAATATTTGAAACGCTTTACGCCATTGGAAAACACTTTAAAATAACAGGTAACATGCACCTATGTAATTAAGTCTTAGCCCTGCGCGTGACTCACTAGGCTATGTTGTACCTTGAAAAGGTGGAAGAAAAGTGACAAAGATGGCTTTCCTCCCTGATAGTCACACCAATATTGGAAGACTTTGATATAGGTTTGGCCTAACTTACATGGTTCAAATGCGAAGGGGTGATCATCAGATGGTTCAAGATCTCTATTTCAAAATTATTGAAGGGTAGACGTAAACCCAAGATCGAAAAAGTACACTCATAAAAAGGAATAACACACTCACCATACTCAATGTAAATCCTAGTATTTTACTAAGGGATCAATACACACCAGTTTGAAGAATAACCCATGCCAAGGAAAACTCCTTTGAGGTTCCCTTCATGGGCAAAGGTAGAAATAATTATTGAAATTATAGAGTTAACCTATGAGGTGGAAGTATCCTCTTTCGTTTTTTAGAAATGGTGGGCACCAATTCCATTGATGGAGAAAATAATATGTTGTGGAAATACATATGATGAGAGAGTAAAGGTAATGGCCCCAAAAATTGTATAACTAGCGTCACAAAGACCGTGTAATGTGTTACCAAAAGAAAGATGATATACACTATCAACAAACCAATTCGCCTCAGAAAAACACTTAAATGATTTAATTTCTCAAGGAAATCATGATAGAGGATACAAAAGACATTAAAAGCATGAGGCACATTTAAGACGCAAGTTCTCGATGACATCCACATCACTTCTTGGCTTTTCACTCAAGTTGGGATATGACCGACAAGGAAAGACAACAACAAACCTTCACCCTATAAAGCAAAGGCAAGGGCTTGGGAAAACTATTTTGGTCCGATCAAAAAGCCCAAAAAGCCGCAACCTAGAGAATGTGTCCATTCACCAAGTCATGCGCATAACAATAGTGATATCCCGAGACAAAGCACATGCGATCCGAATCCAAGGTCCATTCAACGACTATGTGCGTCCTACGCCTGAAGATAAGTAAAATCGTTATAATCGCTCCACTATAAAGAGAAAGCACACTATTTCTCCAAGAACAATTCAAATTTAAACATCATTCACTCATTTTACTGTCATACGAATTTGAGTGTTGAAGTGTCAACTTTATAAATCAATCTCATTCTCACTATATTGAAAATTCAAGTCTTCCACTACAATATACGCAACCTTCAATCTCTGATCAATTCTAATTTCCTAAAAAAAAACAAATATACATAAAAGTTCAATATAAAAAATTAAATAAAAAATATATTATCCTATATCGGGTATTAATCTCTAAATAAATTCATAAATATACCAAAAAAAAATTATATATTTTTGCTAATTCTTCATTTAAAATATAGTGTGCAATTTATAAATAAACAATAAAACATATTAAGTTGAATTACTTATAATACCAATATAGATTTGTTTAGACTTTCACCAAATCACAACTAAACTTTTTTTTATCAACTATCTAAATACAAATTTAGTTTACAATGATTGAAAAAACAATTTATATCTCATGAAAATAAAAAAACAAAAGATAAAAAAATTTGTGATCCAATCCAACAATCGTTTTCTATTTGTCGTTAATGTTTTATTTCCTAGTCTCTCTCCTGAAAACTCTCTTTTTGTAACAGAGTGCAATGCTTTTGTCAGAGGTGTGGCTCACTTCGAAACCAGTGACAGTGACACATGCATGTTCTCCCACTCAACGGTCAAGATTCTCTCTATCTCCCATCCCTTTATTCAACCACCACCGTTCGATTCATCCATAACACTTTCCACCTATAACCATAACCATGCTTCAATAAATCACCTTCTCTCTCTTTCTCTCTCTGTTTTTTTTTTTCTTCATACATGTGACTCAAAGAACATGAAGTGGTTTTGTGCCTTATAATGTAACTACTTTTCTGTTAAACCTTAGATTTCGTTAGATCTATCCAACTTCAATCTTCTTTCTAGGTTTTCCTCTTAGCCCTTTGGTTTGTAACATCATAATTTGTCAAAAAAATTCTTCTTTTTTTGTAACTATGATGCAGATCCAAACTCAAAAATGTTAATTTTTCAATTTTTTTAAGTACCCTTTTGTCCTTTTTATTATTTTTACCTTTTTTTTCCTTCTAGATCTCTAACCATGTCCTAGATTTGAAGATCTTGTTGTTGTCTAACTCTAGTTTGAGTAAAGATCTGTTTTTTACACTCTGGTTTCAAAAGGGTATCTCAGTGTTTTAGATCTTGGTTTTTCTATCTTTGTTTTTTTCTTCTTCTCTCAAAAGAGTATCTTAGAGTATGGAAATTTTCCATGAAAGTTGTAGAATTTGGATCTCTTGAGTGAGAGAGAGAGAGAGAGAATGAATTATTTTCCAGACGAGGTAATAGAACATGTGTTTGACTATGTGGTGTCACATAGTGACAGAAACAGTTTGTCTTTGGTATGCAAAAGTTGGTATAGAATAGAGGGATTTACAAGGAAGAGGGTGTTTATAGGAAACTGTTACTCTATTAGTCCTGAGAGGTTGGTGGAGAGGTTTCCTGATCTCAAATCTTTAACTTTAAAGGGAAAGCCTCATTTTGCTGACTTCAGTTTGGTTCCTCATGGTTGGGGTGGTTTTGTTTATCCATGGATTGAAGCACTTGCTAAGAGTAGAGTTGGGTTGGAGGAGCTTAGGTTGAAGAGGATGGTTGTGTCAGATGAGAGCCTGGAGCTACTTTCTCGTTCTTTTATGAATTTTAAGTCTTTAGTTCTTGTTAGCTGTGAAGGGTTTACTACTGATGGCCTTGCTGCTGTTGCTGCAAATTGCAGGTGAGGAAAGGGTGAATCTTGTGTTGTTAACTTGTTAGTGTTTTACAATTATAACTGTTGTGATCTTGTTGGGGAATATGTTTTTGGTTTTTAATGGTTTTTGGATTTTGTTGGTACAATTTTGATTTGATGTTTTTATTTTTATATAGCGGTACGGTTGAAGCTATATTGTAAGTCCTGGTTGATGTTGTCTTTATCTTCTGTACCATCAAAATTTCAATTTGTGGTTTATTTATAGCCTGTGTTGTCTGTGACCACAATTAGAGAATAAGAGTACACATTGTTCAGCAAATTGGTTGAATGAGTTTGAACTTAACCTGTATTCATCTGGATTATCTTGTTTGTATTTTGTATTTGATATATGTGTGGGGTCAGAGAAAATAGTGTTGAGAAATATGTTTTTCTGATTGTGTTTCCGGCTGGGTGTTTAGAACGTGTTATTGACTCGATATAACTTGTGTTTTTGTGGAAATGCAGGTCTCTTAGGGAGCTAGACCTGCAAGAGAATGAAGTTGATGATCACAAAGGACAGTGGCTAAGTTGTTTTCCGGAGAACTGTACATCACTCATCGCTCTTAATTTTGCTTGCCTTAAAGGAGAGATTAATGTGGGAGCACTAGAGAGACTTGTGGCGAGATCACCTAACCTCAAGAGTTTAAGGTTAAACCGATCAGTGCCTGCTGATGCACTTCAAAGGATTCTGATGCGAGCGCCTCAACTAGCAGATTTGGGTATTGGATCATTTATCCATGATCTCAATTCAGAAGCCTACATAAAGCTTAAGAATACCATTCTTAGGTGCAGGTCAATAACGAGTTTGTCCGGGTTTTTGGAAGTGGCTCCTTTTAGCCTTGCCGCTGTGTATCCAATTTGCCGTAACTTAACTTCCTTGAACTTGAGCTATGCAGCAAGCATTCAGGGGGCTGAGCTGATTAAACTTATTCGCCATTGCGGGAAACTACAGCGCTTATGGGTAACTATTTCAGACTTCTAAACTAATAATTTTATAACTTTAGATTTAATTATGTCTTTTATTTATAATACTCTGCGATAAATACTTTTAAGGATATTGTTGACAAAAAAAACTGATGTTGCAGATAATGGATTCCATTGGAGACAAAGGACTAGTTGCTGTAGCTACAACATGCAAGGAGTTGCAAGAATTGAGGGTTTTTCCATCCGCGCCATTTGGAAATCAAGCAGCTGTTACCGAAGTAGGACTTGTTGCGATATCAAAGGGATGCCCGAAGCTTCACTCGTTACTCTACTTCTGCCACCAGATGACAAATGCTGCTCTCATAACAGTGGCCAAGAACTGTCCAAATTTTATCCGATTCAGGTTATGCATCCTCGATGCAACAAAGCCTGACTCCGACACTATGCAGCCACTGGATGAAGGTTTTGGAGCGATCGTGCAGTCATGCAAACGACTGAGGCGGCTATCACTCTCCGGTCAGTTGACCGACCAGGTCTTCCTTTACATAGGAATGTACGCCGAGCAGCTTGAAATGCTATCTATTGCTTTTGCTGGCGAGAGTGACAAGGGAATGCTCTATGTATTAAACGGTTGCAAAAAGCTTCGCAAGCTCGAGATAAGAGACTGCCCTTTTGGCGACACAGCGCTTCTGACAGACGTAGGGAAGTATGAAACAATGCGATCCCTTTGGATGTCGTCGTGTGAGGTGACTGTAGGAGCATGCAAGACATTGGCGAAGAATATGCCGAGTTTGAACGTGGAGATCTTTAACGAAAGTGAACAAGCAGATTGTTATGTGGAAGACGGGCAACGAGTGGAGAAGATGTATTTGTATCGTTCCGTGGCTGGGAAAAGGGAAGATGCACCAGAATATGTATGGACTCTGTAGGTGCATTTTAGGTTCAGTTTAATTTTTCTAGTATTAAGGTGTTTGTAATTTGTTTTAGGCTCTGACTGATTAATGCAATTTTAGTCTCCGGATATGTACTGGTTTGTTGTATCCTTGCACTTTGTTAGTTTTTTTTATACATAAATATTAGATGCTTCTTCATTAATATGTTGAGTCTTGTTTTTATCTACTTCCATTTTATGATTGATGCAATGCTATTCTTTCTTCTTTCGTCGTCTTGTTCGTTGTGCTATGTGTATCTGATGACACAAGCTGAGGCACTGGCTCACTTTGCAGTCACAGCTGAGGCATTGTCTCAATGTGACTGACACCTTTGCTAAACCAACTCTGATTTCATGCCTTTGTTATATGGAGAGAATCTGTGTTTTCTGTATTACTTCATCTAATAGTTATGGATAATAACTATGAAAAGTATGGAGGGTTTACATACTTTAGCTAAAATTTCTTACACTAGAAGAGGGTAGTTGGACGACATAAACAAAGAAAATTTGCTTGGATCAGTAGTTAATATGAATGTAAAGTTGTTAACAAGTATGTTAACTTGATGCTGCACTCATAGCTGAATGAGAAGAGGACCTCTAAAAAGCTCAGAGCCAAGAGGCTCTAAGAAGATGGAGTGAAAGATTTTCTGTTTTCTAAGGATTGAACAAAAACTTGTTCAAGAGAATAATAAAAACATTTATTCCATGTCTCTGAAGTAATACTCCCTCTGCCCTCTGTTCTTTTTTAAGTGTTTTTTTCTTCTCATTTTTACACATGTTAAGAAAATTAATTATTATTATTACTTTTTAAACAATAATTTTTCTTTTACTTATAATATTCTTAATTATTTGTCACATCAATTTGATTTTTTCTCTCTTTGCAATAAATAACTATGGGGTCATTTTGATAAAAGTATAATTAATATTATCTTAAATTTTATAAGCGATAATTAAAAAAAAAAAAATTATTCTAAAAATGACACTTAAAAAAATAGAGGAAGTAGTAAAAATATAAAAATGATAAAAATGAAACACAGCATAGCATTTATGTGGTTAGGTGTATTTTTGCAAGGGAGTTGGGTTACTTTTTACCTCCTATGGGGTGCTAATTTATTGTATTTATAAATTAATTTAATTGAATTCAAATTTTATGTATTTCATTAAATTTTATTATAAATTTACATACAAATTTAATATATTTTGACGTCATCTTCGATTTTTCATATATATTAAAATCTGTTTTTTTTTTATGTTTTCATTAATACTTTTATTTTTATCAAGTAAAAATTAATTTAATAATATAATATATTCTTTCTGTTTTTTTTAAGTGTCATTTTAGCATAAAATTCTTCAACTAAGATAATTGATTGTTAGAGTTATTTTTTTTAATACAAATATTCTTTTATGTCATTTTACATTTATTATTTAGTGTAACAAACAATTTACCAAATATTCAAATTAACTTATAAGTTATCAGTCATCAGCTATCAACTATCAATTAGTTTTATCAAATAGAGCCTACATCCCACAAGATACTAGTTTACTATGGTGAAAAGTTACAAATACCCCTTGATTTAGAAGATACATACGTGAAAGTACCTTTTTTGAGTATTAAATTATTCTAGAAATGTATATCCGAAATAGTTTTTGACATAAAAGGAGTGTGTCTCACTTACAATATTTTTATTTTTTGTGTGTATTAGACGTGTTTGGAGATACATTTTTAAAATATGGGCAAAATTAAATTTTTAGTGTGTTCACCTTGACCACCTTATGGGTGAATAAAGTAATCCCTTTTTGCAATTTGTGACAATCTTAAAAAGTTTATTTTAGCAAGTGGGCGCATAGCCAATATACATCTTTAAGTCTATTAGTAATAGAGGGGTGTGAATAACCTTGGGTTTGCATACCTATGAACTTTATGCTCAAGGACGTCAAAATTTCAATGTAGATCTTATTGATAGCCAACATTACGCATTTGCAATCTCACTCATTCTTAACAATTTAGATTTTATGTAGAATTGTATACTGTAGTAAGATCGCTGCAAAATCTTAACCAAACTGTAAAAAGATAGTGAAATTGTTGAGGATGAGGCCACAATCAACTGTTTTTTGACCATCACAATCACAGGCTAAGAAGAAATATATAAGCATGTTGATTATAAGATGCAGAGACACAACAATAGTAACCACTGGTTTTCATGTTCATCTTCTATTCTAATGCCCTTTTATGTGTTTTTTATAGTCTTATTCTTGATTGTGCAGAGGCAATCAATGGTTTTCATCTAGAACTCCTTTAAAATTTTGAAACCAATCATAGAACTTTCCCATGTTAACAACAATAGCAGTAGCCTTCTTAAAAACTTAAATGTATCATATAATGGTATAATGTAATTTAATAGTACAGCCCTTGATAAACATAATTTAGGTTGTAGTTCCAGACAGCAAATACTGTTTACTGTTTCCAATACATAATAAGTATCCATACAAAGATTCACAAAGACCAGAACACATAAACTATGAACAACCCAAAAAAGGCAATGGTAACAACCATGAGTCACAAGAATGACTAACACTGACCCAGATCCCGCACAAATAAGCAAAGACATAACATTTGAGCAACATTTATCCAGAGAGCTATATAACCAACCAGCCAAGTGCACCAAACTGAAGACACAACTGTCATTGTGATCATCAAAAACAACACTCCTCTAGAAAACAACAGCAACAGAGCGCTGTAAAGCTGCACATGTAAACACAATGAAGTCATAATCTCAAAGTAACCTCATAAAGGTCTTAAAAAGGACAAAATAATACAAGCTGAAACTAAAAATATTTCATGTGACTTTTTTATTTTACTTGATTAAACGTTGACGTCTCAAGCTGAAATGAAACAATTCCACAGAATATTCTTGTTTAATTTTATGTTAGAGAAAAAAAACTGAATATCTATGTACATTAAGGAAAGTTTGTAGTGTGGCATAAAATATTTCTTCCTACACTTTGATAGATAGTTTGTTAAACCGATTTTTAATCAAAGTCGCCGAATGAAATCTTGGGATAGAAATGGCAAATTTGAACAAATAACTCAAACATACATTCTTAATTAAAAATAGAAAAGAATGGAATTTGCATCAGTTTTAGTAGGAGTCAGTCTCATCAGGAAACTTAACGTTTAGCTATATTTGACCCTTGATTTGATTCTGATCTAATGGTTCAAGGTCACCCAAATTTTAAGTTAAACAGTACATTTGAAGAAAGACCATACACGAAGGCGACTTCAACAAATAAAAAGAATTCAACTCTACTCATTCTAGTCTTTATCATGTTTCTAACATAGATTACAAATTTGCTTGATGAATTCCTCAAAGTTGTAGGTTTGCTAACACATATAAAAAACTCTGCACAACATGAGATATAGCCAAAAGGCAGGTAGTCTAAAGTAATGGTACTTATGGTTTACTTATATGTTATCAAATTTTGTAGTTTTCCTGAACATCTCAATTCTCAAGTAGCATAGAACAGCTGATATTGATCTAGCCAGTGAAACTTCTATCTTTATCACATTCAAGTTTCAAAAAGGCGACAAGTTACTTTATTTCCTATACGATCAGATCGAGCCATCGGTGTGAACATAAATGGAAACTACCTAAACTGGTCTAGAAAGTTGTCTTTGCTTCGCTAATTTTTCTAAAAAGATAATCGCCATCCCTAACATAATACTAATGATGCCAACATTTTTTGTTAAGGGAGACAAAAATACAAGCTATGGGGAATCCTACCACATCAGCTACTGATAGATGATTCCCACACGAGTGTTGACCAGCTACTCATTCTCACATCAGTGTATGTTGATCATTAACCAGTTGTTGATATTCCCTAAAATCTCCCTGTTCATTTTTTGGGCCTCTTGGTTCTGGGTATGGTTACAGTCTTATGGCTTTGTTTTTGTTTTAGGGTTGTCTTATCTTTTGAACTCCTAAGAACCTAACACAAAGTACAGTTTTGGCTAACTGGGTCAGAGAAAACTGTGTTAGCCCAAAAGCCTTCAATTCCTGGTATCTTAGCCACATTCTTCTTCATTTTCCCTTAACCAAAAAACAAAAATAATTTCCTATTCTCTTTTAAGCTTTAAAACTTAAACTTAAACTTAGTTGCATTGCTACAAAATGTTATCAATTCTAGATTGTGGCCGATCCCAAAATGCCATAGTAGCATGGTAGTCAAAATCGCGATCCCACTCGTAGGATCGTACGATTTTGCGATCTTGCAACTCCCCACCGTGCCGGAAAATGACCAGAATCGGTTTTTGCAGTGATAGCACGTAAAAACGGTGGGATCTCCGTTTTTGAGAAGAACTATCGATTCTGTTCAAAGCCCAGGAATTTGGGTTCGCAGGTCAGGTTCACGACCCAGTTTCAGAAAAACCCTAAAAACATTTCTTTTCTGATTGAAATTTGAAACAATATTTTCTCTTGACATTTAAACAACTTCCCAAAATAACCCATGATTAATGTAACTTCCCAAAATACAGATTCACTCCTATTCTCTCACACTAAACATCTCTCTCACGATAAATAGAGCAATTATCTCACTCAATATTCCATTCTCTATCTTCTCTCTCACATTAAAAACAACCTTTCAATGAATATCTTCTGAAATTTCAGTTTTTTAAAGTAATTTTAGTGTTATTTTTTCTACTAAATTATGTTGCTGTCATATGCATATTATTAATTATATGCAATATATATGAATTTTTAAATTTGGTAGGATCTTACGATCCATGTTACGATTCCCTGATTCACGATCTTGTTACCCCTAGCCGATCTTGCATAGGATCTCGAGCTCTGAAGCATGGGTACTTCTAAAATGGTAAAGTACCGGTACTGGGTACGCACCCGTACCGGGTACACGTACCGTACTCGTGGTACTTCATTTTTTTTTCATTATTCGGTTGAGTGATATTTGTGCTTTTCTCAAATATCAATATATTATATTTATGTATTTTAATTTCTTCGTCATTATATCTTAACATTATTTTTGATTTTTTAGAACTTTTATAGTGATATTTTGTTGTGAACCTAACAATTTAGTTTTCCACTCATACATTTTATAGAAAACTCTTATATTTTATTAACGTACCCGTACCTTGATTTTTTGAAAATTGCTGTATCCCATACCAGTACCGGTACCCGCACCGGGTACCGTGCCTCTAACTATGCATCATAGATCTCGAGTCTGACTACCTTGCATAGTAGGACAGCGGTCATCTAGCTATTATGTTTTTTTATTTAAATTCAATTTATGTTTATACTATGTACATAAAAACTCAGCAACTAGCAGTAACTGACCGATGAGGAAAGTGAAAAATGACAACAGAAGTGAGTCAGAATGAGATAGGAGAAGCCCTGTCATCTAAAACTTACGGTTGTTTTGAAATTTACAATTTCATTCTTATGCATGACACTATCACGCCACAATAGCCAAAACAGTAGCTGCTACAGCTTCTACACCACACTGCTATGCTACTGTTTATCCTCTTGTGATGAGGGGCTGCTTCTCCGCTATTGAGCACAATTGTCTACATTGTTGCTACCTTCTACGAGTTACATGCTATTGTTGCGTAGTTCCATAGCAGAATTTTTTACTTCGAAAGTATCTTGGGTAGATTACCATTATCATTATCGCCAACAATGGTGTTTGAACTTTGAACCATCTTACCCAATTTAAAATTCTTAAACCTCATAAAAGGTGCAATTTGTCCAAACTTGAAGATCACTTTCTCATTCATTACTTAGGGTTTCAGAAAATTGTCTTAGCTCTAAAGCTTTCAATAACTGTTCAATTACTTCACTTGATTTTTCTTTACTCTTTTCCTTGGCCAACAAGCATTATATAATTCCTCGTCTTTTCTTATTAGCTCTAGCATTTCGTTTCCTTCATGGCTACTCTACATCATATTGTGATCTTTGATTTCACATTGTATCTAAGGTAAGCATGGTTGTTAGGATCGCGTTTTAACTCCCAAAAGCGTACGATCTTAGGAGTTGGCAACCATCCACCGCTTTAATTGGCAGAAAGATGGTGAAATTGGAAGAAGCGCTGAAAGCGTAGAGGAAGATCGTAAAATCGTGGGATCGTAAGATCCCAACGATTCATTTTTTTTATTTTGATCTGTTTTGGATCCTTTTTGACCCGGGCCAGAAACTGACTCGTTATTGAACCCTAACGGCAGCACTCATATTTTTAGGGTTTTGGGACTTGGAATATATTAAATATACTTTTGAGAACTACAAAACAATTATCGTGAAAGCTGTTCAGCCACCAAAACCATTGGAACTCTAATACCTCTTCATCTATTTCTTCTATAACAATTAATCATACGATGATTGGATTTCTTCTCTTCATCTATTTCCTCTATGAATTCAAATCAAGTCATTCTATTCTTCTCATCTATTCTTCTCATCTTTTTTAATTGAATATTTGCTATTATGATTAAGTTAATGAGAATTTTATGTTAAGGTTATTTTTCCTAGTTAGTTTTTATAATTTTGTCTATTTGTTGGGATCTTATGATCCGAGTTACGATCCTACGATTTACGGTTTTTCCATATCCTAACGCTCTTTATTGAGATCCCGATTTTGACAACCATGAAGGTAAGCTTACCATTCTTTCCGTTTGTTTCGTTTCATTATATCCTATATATATGTCCTGAGTTTACTCCATCTTTTGAAATATCCGTAAACTCAACTAGCAGACTCGATGCATCTACTCATTAAGAGTTTACTTAATACAAAAAATATTCAAAACATGTTTATCATAGTATCAAACATAATTTAATACATGCAGAATAAATCTTCAACATTCTAACTTAGTTATCAATCAAACCAAAATAACACAACTTAAATATTCTGTAAGCAACAAGCGAATTAAACTACGTTGAACTCATGGAACTAGACCAGAGTAAACTAGAAACGAAAACATAATATCAAAATTAATAGACAAATTAAAAAATCAAAGAAAATTTTACCACACACAAAAGAACATAACATGTTCACAATTATTCGAGTCGACAATCATATGGCTTAAAATTACTAAAGAGAGAATGAAACGGAGAGCAGGTTTCCCTTGGAGCTAGATTCAGTTCAAATAGCTAGTTTTCAGCTCGTCATAGTCTGTTCCTATTCTCTGATCTGTGACTTCTTTTATGCTATCTAAGAGCTATGTGGTTAAGACTCAAATCACTCAATACAACATCATTCACCCACCTCTTTTGCAAATAGGTTCATGCTAGGATATTAGACGCATATGCGAGGTTGAATGCTACAACCAAGGTTAATGTTTTGTATACTAAGAAACCTCATCATTCATCTATAACATCTTAGGTATTTTAGAATTAAAAAACAAACAATATCGTCTTCGGAATGCATGTTTGGTGAATAATATTAATAATAACCATTATGTTTTATTGGATTCATTCAATCACCCTCAAACTCACAATTCTATACAATGCAAGTCAATACCAGTCTATTTGATTCAACTCGAGTTTCCACAAACAAATTCGTAAGCAAGTCAACTCAATTTCGGTAGCCAAAGCCATAAACTCATATCATTCTATCCTAAGAATCAATTTGACCAAAATTGTTACACCTAGCAAATGTCTCATCGGATTTCCAATTTCTACGAAAAACGTTAATTAATCCATCAAATATTACATGACAATTAAACAAAAACAAAAACAAAAACCCTAAGCACACGCTATAATTGAATGATAAAAAAAAACATACCATCCTTGGAAGAAGCCAGAGAAACACGAGTTATGATCATCATTGTGGCAATGATGCTGAACATGGTGGAAATTGTAATTCGGAGGAGGATATCCATTATTGAAATACCCTTGATAGGTTTGGTATTGAGGATGAGGCGGCGGGTACGTTGTTCCATAACCATGTTGTGGCGGCGGAGGAGGGTAGCCTTCGTAACCAGGTGGCGGCGGAGGAGGATAGCCTTCGTAACCAGGTGGCGGTGGTGCTGATGGGTAACCCGGTGGGAATTGGGTTACCGGGTAGCCTTGTGGCGGTGGGTAAGGAGATCCGTATGGTGGAGGAGGATAAGGTGGGTCTTGAGGGGCTCTCTGGTAATTGTTACTCATATTTTTTTTGTGTGTGTAATTGGGAATGGGAAGAAGGATTCAGGCAAGGGAGGGAGGAACTGCGAGTAGTTTCTCCTCCTGCCTTTCTGTTTCTGTGTTGGCAGATTGGTATGAAAACGTATATGAGTTGGAGGGACGTATTTCTGTTCATAACTTCTCATTTATAAAAAATTAGACAAAATATCATTTTTAGTCTCTTGATTTTATCTCTGGATCTATTTTGGTCCTTTATTTTTAAAAAGTTTTAAAGTGATCATTTAATTGTTCAAAAAGGACTATGTTTATCCTTTCCATCTAGACCGTTAGTCAAAGTCAATAGTAGAGCTTATGTGGCATATATGTGGCATTGCACGTGTTTACATTTTCGTCTCCACAACCACATATGAGTTTCCATCGTAAATTACCATCTCCGCAGCCCTTCGAATCGTACGAAGATTGCTTCATTTTCCTCAAACAATTACAGAATCATAAGGAAAAGAAATTTGTTGAACCCTAGAATTTGGGGGAGTACGGGGTAGAAGAGAAAGAAATGGGCGAAGAAGATGAACGAAGAAGATGAAAATACGACGCAGTCTGCAAGAGGAGAACGAAGAAGATGAAAATAGGATTCCACATCAGCTGCCACGCATACAAAACAAACGTTCGTTTGTGCCTTTTGGACAGAAAGGACTACTATGGTCCTTTTTTGAACAATTAAAGGACCACTTTGAAACTTTTTAGAGATAAGGGACCAGAATGGACTCATAGGTAAAGTCAATGGACTAAAAAAGGTATTTTGCCAAAAGATTACTTTGTTCTCATTTTCCATTTAAAATTGAATAATTTTAACTTACAAATTAAAAATTAAATATTAACATAAATGAATTGTTTGTCCCTCATAAAATTCACACTTTCGGTTTGAGATATAATGATAAGTGATCTGGACTGGGTTAACGCTCGACCCACCGTTGGGGAGGCTCAATCCAACATTCTTGTATAAGACTCAAAGATAAGCAGTCCAAATTGGGGATCATTTGGCAACTCCCCACGTGTCCGTTGGGGAACATGACCCACGTGTCTGTATCATCATCATCATAACTGCCCTCCGGAAATCACAGGACCAACACCTGTTCTCTCGGAACAATTGACCAGGGAGGAGACCATGTGCTGGACTGCATAAGCATGTAAGCCTTGGTAGTCTTCATTAAGGACCTCATCGTGGCCCAATATTAGAGACCTTGACCCAGAACTGAGGACTATAAATACCCTCTCACTTGAGAGGGTCAGGTATTGAATCATTTTATCTCACTCACTGATACTTATTTGTATCATTCTGAACCTTACTTTGGCATCAGAATATCTTGCAGGTACCCCGTCATCTCATTTACAACTGTTGCTCAACTCATAGTTCGTAGGCTTTGACGATCCATTCTGGTCAGTTACGATCAGTGACACCGTCTGTGAGAAACAAGCTTCCCCGTCTTTCATTTACCTAAGACTAAAGCAACCATCAAACTCTATGATTGTCATGGCCGACCTAGCTACCAACAACAGCCTAAACGCCCATCTCGTCGACCCTAACAACAACGTCGTCGACAATATGGGCAACAACAACAACAACGGGAACGATATCGACATGGCCGGTCTCGTACAGAATTACAGAGACGGCATGACTGCCTCTTCATCATCTCGCTCTCAGCCACACGAGGATGCCCATATGCCCCAGAACTATGAGTCAAACGTTTTCCAAGAGGTATCGTTCCCGCGGACACTGACGCCACGACCAGGGCTCTGTTCACGGCCATTAACCAAACAAATTATTTAATCTTCTCGCAAGGTAAACGACTAAGGGTGCTCGAGGATTCTCGCCGAGCTCCCAGAAGACACATAAGACTTGACACTCCACCTCCCTGTCAGAATGAAGATCGTCCTCAGTCTCCCCCGTGGAGACACAGACGAGATAGATCACGAAGCCGCTCTCCCCGACGGACTAGGAGACGCCCCACTTTGGAGAGACGGATGCCTGAAGCTACTGGGAGACGCGACCCCCCCCCCCCCCCCCCCCCGCGTGCGGGGAACGAAGATCCCTTGAAAACTAAAATAGGGGAAACAGAGAAACGCATCCTCGACCAAGGGATCCTCCCCAAGGCCAAGGCCATCACTACAACCGTCATTACAACTGGTCCCCTTCCCACTCTCCCTACAGGAGCGACGAAGATGATCCCCGCGGTGCCCTATCACAAGTAATCGTGGAGGCGTCCATTCATAGGGGAATGGATAAGCCTCCCCAACTGAAGGAATATGACGATATTGCAAACCCTGTTGACCACATCGACGGGTTCGAGGGAATGTTCAACTATCACAACCTAGGGGGACCGATCAAATGCCGGTTGTTCCCCACGACCTCGAGGAAAACAGCAATGGACTGGTACAAAAATATTGCCCCAGGATCCATCACCTCTTGGAGAAACCTCAAGAACCGGTTCATCAGCTCGTTCACAGCGTCTCGTCGACATCCAAAGACTGAGGCCGCCCTTGAGGCTATCATCCAAAGAAGCGACGAAACCCTCAGGGAGTATATTGATCAGTTCAACCGCGAGGCCATCCAGGTCTCGTGTACCGATCACATGAAAAGATATTTGCTCGAGAGAGAACTCCTCCCGGGCACTGAGTTCAGGAAGACCGTTGGCATTGAACCACCTTGAACTTTCGATGCTCTACTCGAAAAAGCTAGGGCCTATATGGACTACGAGGAGCGGGAAACGGCCAATAAAGCCCACGACTCGAGGAATAACAGACTGACCAACACCCCGCGACACCAGGATGCAGGTCCTCCTCGACGAATGGGCGAGAAACGAAGGGATGATAAACCGTGTGATCCCCGCGAGCACAGGGGACCTGCAGGATGATTCACCGAATATACTCTGCTGACCGCGAACGCATCCTGGCGAAGTAATCAAATACTGACTTCAAGGACAGTGACGTCAGACGTCATCGATCTTCCCCTGCTAAACCCGAGGCTAACAGGAGCAAATATTGTTAGTACCATCAGAGTCACGAGCATCTGACCGAAGACTGCGTCCACCTTAAAGACGCCATCGAAACCTTCATCAAGGGTGGTAGACTCGGGCAGTACCGATGCAATGACGCCCCTCGTCGAGATGCCCGCGAGACAAAAGAGGCAGAGGAAGAAACCCGACCGTCACATGAGGCGGCCCCCATTCAAATAGCTTTCTCCGTGACAAGACCGAAGGACTTCTACGTCCCCGACAGATACGAGGAAGAACCTCTGTCCATGCACAACAGGTGGGAGAAATTCCCCTCCGCCATGGTTATAATCGGCGGGAGATTCAACGACCTCTCCATAAACTCCACAAAAAGGAAGCTCGATGAGTTGGTCGACGCAACCCCGACTCAAGCGGTGACACTCGAGAGGGTCAAAGGCAAATCAAAACCAATCACCTTCTACCTCGAGGGGTTTCCCGGAGAAGCCCCTAACTCGAACATCCTTCTACTGGTGAGGGCAAGAATGGCTAATTTCGACATACACCGCACCTTGGTCGATAAGGGGAGTTTTGTCGATATCATGTATAGCCATATGTTTCGAACCTTGCAACTTGACGACACCCACCTTTCACCATACGTGGGGTCCGACCTGCAAGAATTGAATGGCTCGACCTCCAAACCATGGGGATACGTTGAGCTTTTCGTCACCTTCGGAGAAGAAACTGCCTCCCGACAGATCAAGGTGCGATTTCTGATCATCGACTTCCCATCTCTCTACAACTGCATCCTAGGGAGACTGGCGATGGCCGAATTAACCGTCGTGCCCTCCACTGTCCACTGGAAGATGAAATTCTACACCCGGAGAGGGCGCGTCGCCACCATCCACAAAGACATCTTGGCTGCTAGAAGATGTTTTAATGTGGTTTCCAAGGGACAGAGCATGATCGACACTAGAGCCCGACCTGCCAAAAGAGCTACTACTGCTCGACCTAAATCGCAGCCTACTCGGACAGAGGAGCAAAGAGTTCTGCCAAAGGTCGACTCAATCTTGCTCGACACCCGCTTCGACAAAGATGAAGTCCCCATTGATGAAGAGGAAGAATTCGTTGAACGATACAAACCTAGGCCGGTCGTAGTTAAGAGAAACCAAGATGTTGATTGAGTGTTAAGAAATGCCATTGTTGGGCGTAACAACATAGTAAATGTATTAGAAGAAGTATTAACATGATCTGGGGTAAATATTGGCCTTCGGAGGCCCAATTACTCTTCGCCCTTTCTTGATTACATTTGACATGCAGAATTACCTAGGGGATGTAAGGTACCTACATTTACCAAGTTTGCTAATGATGGCAATGAGTCGACCATTGAACACATTGCTAGGTACGAGACAGAAGTTGGCGATATCGCCAAAGACGAAGGTTTAAAATTAAGATATTTTTCTAATTCATTGACCAAAAATACTTTTACTTAGTTTACGATATTGACTCCAAATTCCATACGCACTTGAGAGCAACTTAAGGGTATATTTCATGAGCATTTATGCTGGTCAGCCTAAGATAAATTTGAAAGAATTATCCTCAATCAAGAGGAGGTCGTCTAAGTCAATGGAAGATTATTTGAATAGGTTGGATCCTAAAGTCTAGATGCTTCACTAGAGTTTCTGACATGAACTGGTCGAAAATGACCGCTGGGGGCTTAGATTATTCCATTGAGAAAAAGTTTATCCTCAATCCATTACAAATATGTCTCAACTAGCTGATAATGTTCGACATGTCGAACGTTTTAAAACAGAGAAAACTAGAGTGTCAAAGAATAATAGAAAAGGCAAAGTGGCCTATGTAGACACAAGATTATTCCATAGAGTCTGAGGATGAATACATGAAAGAAGGAGAAGTTAATGTGGCTGTATTAAAAGTCGGACCTCCGTATGCATGTAAATTTATAAGACCGTCAAAAGAAAAGACGATTGAAGAACCAAACAATAATATATTTAATATTAAAACATATACTATATATATTTAATACCTCTGTATGTATGTTATTTAATATATTTTCATGTTTTTTTTAAATTTGATATAATTTTCATGTTATTTTCATATATATTATACATTCTGATATATTAATTTAATTTATTTCAATTATATATTTTATATATTCATATAAAATATAAATTTGAAATATAATATAAATTTTGTAGGATCCATGTTAGAGTTTTAGATGAGTAGTATTGATATTTAGAAAATATAATTAGGTGGTTTAAATAATTGAGAAGTATAAAATAATTTATTATATTAGACGGAACCTATTTATACCACCAACATGAGTAATATGGATGTAAATGCTCTATGGATGTAAATGCTCTTAGAACACATAGTCCATTTATTTTACGGTGTCAAAATTTATTCCTTGGAATTTCTATCCAATCCAAGAAAATAAATGTAGAAAATTTGTTCCAAAATATTCTTCCAAAAAATTGTTTGGCAAATATTTATTATTCTCAAAAATATTTGTAATTTTTATTAATTTTTTTAAAAAAAAGTATATAAAATTTTATGAGAATCCACTTTCTCATCCTTTAGCACATAAATAATTCTATGAGAATAAAGAAAGTTATAAGTTATTTTGTTCCTTTATACCCAAAAAATTATAAGAAATTATTTTATTTCTTAGAATCTTTTTACGCAGAATTTTTTTTCTTCAATCTAATAACAATAACAAACATGAGTATCCTCAATGTAACTTCTAAACTTGAAACAAAAACACCCAAAACTTACAAGTTACATTACAAAGAGAAAAAGTTTAAAGAATAAGCTTATGAATTTGCGTTTAATACCATTTTCTGTTAAGAGGGGAAAGCACACCATCATACAAGCCGTTCATCAAATTAAAATCATGAGTTAAAAGGTAATGCAAATAATTTTAAACGGTCATCCAACAAATAATGCAAATAATTTTACACTATCGTTCAATGAAAATGCATCATTTAATCATGTCATATAATTTTCTTTTAAAATAACAGTGTGATTTGACACTTAACATGTCTTGATTGGTTGATTTTTATTCTCTAAAATCATTAGCTTGATAATGATAACTCTAGCCTTCGAGTGTCTCATGCAAATGGGACACAATAGAACGAATACTATTTGAGAGGAAACCGTAAAATCAAACAACAGGGTATAATTTTAAATGTCGTGTTAAGCAACAGAATGAAAAGAGCAACCTAAAAATGCAAGCTAATTCATACAAAAACCATTAATCTTTACAACCAATTCAACATCTAAAAACTCTAATGAACAATCAAACACGGTATTATAAAATTTTATTTTATTTATTTATTCAAAAATGTTGATTTTCAACTAAGCTTAATTCATGTGTACAAGATTTAATTTGATCAAAAGAATGGTGGTGGGAAGCAAATATTGACAAACAAAACAAAAGTTTAGCTACTAGCAGTCAAATTTTATTTCAATTTTTTAGAAAATCAAGACTCTGGTTTTTCTTTAGGCAGCCAGAGAAAACAAGACAATTTATTTGGACACGAGACATTAAACTTGCTATTCAATATATAAACAAGAAAGATATTCAACTCTTTAGTGAGAGCAAGAAGCAAAAATAGTTGCAATGAAGACAAACTCCAAAATTTAAAATACAGTACAAGCTTGAACTCTAGAATTTGTCCTCATTGTGTCATGTCCTCTTTTATCTACAAGCTTGTAATCGCCCTGACAAACTTCAAAGACCAAGCTTGTAGATGATTGACTTAGTAAAGTGGCAAATTTTCATCCATTGGAAAATTTCAAAGGACCTCAGATTTGAGGATCATTAGAAAATAGCTATGAGATCAGTGATCTGATTGATATAATTTTGCTAGCTAAGATCCATAACATTCATGTAATAACAGAAAACAACTGTTCAGGTCAAGAAATTACGATTGTTCTCTCGCTAACTCATTTAACCATCATTCAAAAAGTTCAAAAACATGTGTTCTAACTAGGTGAAAACTGACCGCAGACAGAATATCACGCTCTAGCCTCCGATGTCTGATTGTAAAGGTACTAATTTCTCTTCTTCTTGCCTCCTTTGCCTGATTTTGATGGGGTAGCTACCAGGTACACAAACATAACAATTATGCTGATCACCGAGATTAAAGATCCATACTTAGCCAGCAACCTCTGTGGACAAAAACATTTTTGACAGTAAGGTAAAGTTATTATACTATGACAAATCAATATAGTTAAAAATAACACATGCAGAAGATTCTTATGTTTTGGTGTTGTTTCTTCATGGAACACACACTAGGAGAAAAGTGCACTAATAAGCTAAACATGGAAACAAATTATTTTCTATTTCAATTCCTGATGCAACTTTAACTTCAAATCTGCTACTTAGTTTCATTTTGTTCCTATTTTTAAAGGTTTGTACAGGTAACAACTAAAACAACTTATTTGTTGCCACCATTTCCGGTGCAATTGTGCAAACAACCTATGAAAACATAAAACAAAATGAAAATAAGGTGGCAGTTTTATAATTAAAAGTTAAAAACAAAAAAAAAAAATTGTTTTCTGAAACCAAATAAACCCCAGTTGTTTGCATCAGTACACACAAAACCATCCATTTTTCAAGAGTGGAAAAAGTTGCACCAACAGTGTAAATGAGATCCACTCATGAGTGGCAACTTGCAAAATCAATTATGAAAATAGGCAGCCCTCCTCATGCTAAATTCAAATTTATATGATTCAAATAATTAACTTCAAAAATTGCAATTACAAAGCATTAAATATTTGTTCATACCTTAGCCTGAGAAATCCAGTCCAACCAAATATTAATACATGAAAACAAAAAAGCAACATGTCAGACAATGCATTCAAATTAGATTGATTAATGTAACCATCAGGGATACAAGAAACCTACCCATTCAAACTTCTTCTCCGGAGGCCTGTCAGCAAGAACATCTAACGGCAATATGGGAGTTGAAAGTGCCACCTAATAACAACAAACCATAATAAGGAAAAAAGTTCACTCACTGGAAAAGAAAACATACAATAGACAACAATTGCAACAAACTAAACCTGTAAAACAGCGTTTGTGGGGACACGGAACTTGATGACAGCTGGTTCACCAGAAAATACTCCCTTTGATTTTGCCTCCAGCTCAAATGTGTGAGAGAGGACACCACCACTGCAAAAAAAAATGAATTGTTTGTAAAAAGAAATAAAGCAAAATGCAGCAGAGCAGAAACATTAGGTAATTGAACAGTGCCAAAAAAATTTGTGACAATTATATGAAACTCACGCATCAAGCTTTTCCCATGTCTTTGAAGTGGTACCACTGATTATACTGAAAAGGTCTGTTGGCCAACTCTCATCTGAGAGACTCACATCATATGCCGTCCTATAAAAGAGAAGAAGAAAGGTTTTGTAAGTGAAAATCAATAACAAACACACAAAATAACATGTCAGAAAAGGAACTGCAATATTTGTTATCCTCTTATGTTCTGAGACAATAGAAAGACACTCCAGAGATCTTACAATTGAGAAACAAAACCACTATTCAACATAAGCGCACACAAAGTCATATCTTATGGATTCAAACCCTCTTAATTAATGTCAAATGTCAATGCTTACGATCACTCCCCTAATATACAGATAGAGATTTCTCATTTTGGAACTACCCTTCAATCATTTATTACAAATGAAGAAAAACAGAAAAACAATCGATGTTTGAATAAAGAAGAAGCATTAACATAGCCATAGACAGGTTCAATTATCCACATCAAAATCACAAATCACGACCGAGTATCACCAAATTAGTATCACCAAATCACGTAAGAACTCTTAACTCTCAAGCAGATCAAATTGAAACAAGCAAAAACAAGCAACCAGATGATTTTCTTCAACATATCAATGCATGCAAGCAAGCAAAATGAACAACCACCAGATTCATACAAAATTACTAACAAACAAAATTGAAGATTATCATGAATTCACCCTCCTACTCCTCTACCCACCTGATCAAAGATTACAATTTCCCCCAATGTTCAATATCACTTTCAAATCAAACAAAAACAACCAAGATCCAGCAAGAATTCATCATCTTTACCAACATCCAATCAACACCCAAACATCACAAACACAATCACATGAAACATTTACTACATTGATCGAAATCCCTAAAAATCCCAATCCAATAAAATCAGATAAATCATATGAACATGCATGCAAATGAAAAATTGGGATCTGAAATCTCGAAAACAAAAAGAAAACAGACAGAGTCACGAATACTAGATCGAAGCATACGAGGTTCCTTGGTTGTAGATATCGATGGTGACAGAGACTCTTTCAGCGCCAGTCTTGAGCCGGTTGAGAGAAGCCTTCTTGTGAGCGACGATGAAGGGAACGTCGGAGGAAGCGTGTGAGAATAGCAAGAGAGAAGCTATCAGCAGAAAAGCAATCAGAGACTTGGAGATTGGATCCGCCATTGGCACCCACAGAGAGAGAAATGAAGAGAGAGAGAGAGATGAAGAGTCAATGAGATCGTGTGAGTGTTATTTTTATTTGTGGTTCATTATAAAGTTGTGATCTTAGTACAAAATAATATACTAGGGTTCGTATCAAAAAATTTAAGTATTTTTTAACCGGAGCAAACTTTATAATTTATTTTATTAATATTTATTATCTATTTTATTTATTATTAACAAAAATCATTTATTTTCATAATTTAAAGATTTATTTACTTATTAATTTTTTAAAGTATAGATTTAAAAAATTATCATTCTCACATCCAATATTTTAAATCTTTATTTATTTATTTATTTATTTATTATTCTTTAATTTTATTTTTTTTAATAATTTTTACAATTTCATATCATACTAAATTATACTAATATAATATTTTTAATCCTTTTATATATTTTATTTTTCAGGAATTAACATCAAGTGAATAGATGAATTCTACTATATATTTTGTTTTTCAAGAATTAATGTATTCTTAAATTATGTTGTCTCATCTCCTTCATCCTTCTCTTTATTATTGTTACTCTTTTCACAATTTTTACAATTTCGGATCATATTAAATTATACTTATAATATTTTCTATCATTTTATATATTTTGTGTTTTTCAATGATTAACATTGTGTGGATGGATGAACACATAATTAAAGTATTATTCAATCACGTTGTCTCATTATTGTTAATATTTTGTAATTCATCTTTGTTTTTTTGTTTTTATTTTCTTTTATTCTTAATTTTTTGGTTATTGGATAATTAGGTTATATTTTTTTAGGTATAAATTTGTTGCAAAAGAAGAATTGGTGAAAGAAAGAGAATTGAAATAATTGTATGAATGACATTACATATGAATGATGATTATATTGTGTATTTTCTTAACTTTTAGATTTTTATTTTTTTATATTCTCAATTATATTATCGTTTTAATTTAAAAAAACAAATAATATTTTAATTGTATTTTTATTTGACTTTAAATTATACAAATTTAGTTATCGTGTTCAAGCTTAGCTTCAATTAATTATACTACTCATAGTTTTGATTATATTTTTTTAAATATAAATTTTGACATCATAAAATATATTTTTTATTTAAAAAAATATTGTTTGAAAAGTTAAATTGTGAGAGAGGGTGACTTAAAAAACTCTTATTCTTTATTATTTTTATTATTATTATTTTTTTATGGTTGAAAATTATAATATTTTTGTTAATGTTTTCATCTCAAATATAAACAAAAGCTAATTAAATATATTTCAGAGACTCAATCATTAACATTTACAATAAACTATATCACTAGGTTTCAAAGTTTCAAGGGCTTAATTTTTTTTATTATTACATAGAAAAATATTTTTAAAAAACATACAACATTAAAAGCATAAATTTGACGCTGCCGTTCAAAAATAATATTTTAGAGACACTATAATGTGAATATTTAATTGATGAATTTACTTCAAAAATGTATTTAGTTCATAAATTTCTTTCAAAAGTGTTCGGAAAAAGACTCTTTTTTATATATTTAAAAAATTTAAGTTGTATGAAATGATATTTATTTATAGTTTAAATAATACTGAGTTTTTTAGTGCTTCATGTATTAAATATATAATTATATTTTTTGTGCTCGTTTTTAATTATTAAAATTATACTCTTAAAAAAATAATTATACATATATTTTAAAATAGAACCGAATATCTGAGTTGATTGAACCGACTATAATAATTGATATATTTAGTTGACCGTTACATAATAATTCTTATAAAAAGAGTGATGTCACAATCAAGTATTTGTCTAACATATATATAAATCTAACTATACTTAACAAATCTAACTCTCATGTTATGCGACATACTTTGTAAGGAGTTACAAATTAATTTTATTTTCTTAAATTATAAATCATTTAATTAAAATCTATAATTTTCATCATTACTTTCTATTATCATTTATGATGTTTTGTTTTTATTTTTCTTCTATTTTAACTTCACAACACCATCTCTTTTTCTAATCCACTTACTTTCAATTAAGGTGAAATATATTATTTATAAATGATTTATTTAATTTATTAATTATTTTATGTGATTTTTGTTTGAATTAATCTGATCATGAGAAGGGATTTGATGCTTTTATCTTTGATACCTTCATGTGTAACTATCTAATCATCATCATTTTTTATTAAAATAAATTATTTGATTCAATTCAAAAATATATCTTTAATTTATAATAATTATAAATAATAATTTAATAGAATTTACCGTGCTTCGCACGGGTGGGTGTCTAGTTAGGCTTAAATGCAGTTTTGGTCTCCAAATTTTTTGATTTTTTTATTTTAGTTTTTCAAATTTCAATGGCTTGATTTTGATCCTTCGAGTTTTTAATTGGTTAATTTCGGTCTCCCAAATTTCAATTGTTTGATTTTGATCCTTCACATTTGTCTTATTTTATATTTAATAGTTCCTTAATGATATGTAGACTAAACTTCTCTTTTTTTATTGCTTTTTTTAAATTTTCTTCTCTATAATTCTTTTTTTCTTCTCTTTTTAATAGTTAAACTATGAATGTAATATCTTTAAAATCTTAAATATTTCATTCAACATATCTCTAATGACAAATTATTTTGATAATAAAAAAGATAGATCAAAGGTTAATTAAAATAATGAACTTTTTTACCAATGATCCCTCATACTTAAGCATATAGTCCCCCCTGAAAGTCTAACAATCCTATTGGTCATATAGAATTTCAATATTTTTACAAGGAATATTGTATGTTTATCCCTATATTCTAAAATAAATTTGTTAAAAGGTGATCTTACCGGTTGATCAGAACCTGTGAAGTGGCCGGAAGATGATCTGTAGTCGGGTTGTGATGTCGAGGAGAAAAAATGGGGGTTGTACCTGCAAGGCACTCTGACGATCAAGTAAGAGTGGAAACAATGAGATACAAGTAAAGTATTAGGTGGTGAATAGTGAATATTCGATCTCTGGCCTTCACATGTGTGAGGGTTTATATAATGCCCCTGACGTGTGGCCATTAGTTCCTGATTTCACGCCTAGATATACAGATCCGTAAAATTAGGTAACTACCAGGACTTGGTGAAACCGGGAAGATGTGCCTGTAACTAGCCGTTGGTTCCGGGGAGGGGGCTAGTTACAGGCATCTCTCTGGTCGGTTCCTGATGGCCTACACGACGTTCATGTCGGGCAGGCTGAGAGGATGATTGCTGATCATCCTAGGTCGGTGCTGGTTTGGAAGGACAAATAGTCAGTATTGCCTGATGGATAGCAGGCGGTTCGGGTCATGTATGTGTCGTTTGCACCAAAGGAAATCTCTAGACTGAGCCCATTCAAAGTTGTTAGGCCAGTCCAGAACAGTAGCCCCCAAGTCGTTGCTTCTGGGTATAAGAGTGATGGCTTTAATACTTGCTCGTGGAATGGGGGTGCGTCTTACGGGGAAGCGAGCATTGCCCATTACACCTTTCTCGCGGGGAGATGAGGAGTTGGTCGTCAGGACCCTTGAATTTGGAGAGGTAGCATGCTTTGGGAAGTGTGCTAGCGAAGCGCCGTAATGAGACATATGGGCTAGGGTGTAATAATGACGAGAGGAGCACGTACAGACGGTTTCAGCTATAAATACGAGAGAAGCATGGTCTTTTGTGTTTTTCGTCTTCTCTCTCAACTACTCGTATTAGCTCGACCGTCGACTGCCGTCATTCCTTGATTTTCGTCGATTGCAGCTTCTAATTCTAGCCTTTCTTCCTCTATTAACTGGTAAGTTTTCATTTTTCCATTGTCTTTCGCTTTATGTAGTTCATATTTTGGCCATTTAATTTCTAGAGATGTATGCGGTTAGGATTTAGGGTTTCGTCTACAAGGATGTCGTTGGAGAGTGTTGGCGGTAGACGTCGTTTATGTAGTTTAGAATCACCAGAGATGCCGTGAGATCTCCTCGGGAACTTTGTGGCGTGTTGTAGACGGTCCATTAGAACTCGGGGCTTTTCTATAGCTTCTATTCGTTGATGCATCTCAGTGAGGGTTCTAGTCACGGACACGGTCCTCGTTTCCCAGCATCCTTTCGCTTGATTGGCGGTGGAAGGATGGTTCTGGCGTTGATGTCAGGCTCATCTTTTTCCTCTACTTTTCAGGTGCTATGGGTGACAACGCTCGGGTCGATATCTCAAGCGAATCCAGACAATCTTCGAGAAGTTCCTCAGATGAGATGAGTAGCTCGTCGAGCATCCTGGAAATTTTCGGGGATATGCAGAATCAATTGGAGCAGTAAACGAGGGAAGGTGACATGGAGATGACTTTCGTCGATCAAGGTTGCTTGCTTCCTTCTAAGAACAAGGAGGATTCTCGGTCTTGGGTCGTGAAAAACCCCTGGGGCTGGCCTTCGTACTTCTACGAGCACCGGGAGGATGTCTTTACAGATGTGTACACTCACGAGAAGGGGAACCAAGGAGAATGGTCGATGTACATCCCCGGGAAAGAGAGTAGGATCTGCTCGAAATATGACAGGAGGTAGATTCATATGTATGACATAGTATTTCGTGAGATGGGTCTTCGCCTCCCCTCTATGATTTTGAGGTGGCCGTATTCAGGCACTTGCGCGTGGCTCCCTCTCAACTGCATCTGAACGGCATCACGTTCATACGAGCATTCAAAATAGTTTGTGACCACTTGAAGATAAGGGCTACTATTCCCTTGTTCTTCTACTGCTTCCACCTTCATAAGAGCAAGGTCTACAGAAAATTGTGATGGGTTTCCCTGAAGCAAGGCAACGGGAAGTTGTTTAAAGCTTATTTGGAGTCCGTCCGCCACTTCAAAGATAAATATATTTTGGTGCAGCCTTCTTCGAGCAAGGCGATGTTGAACGTCTTCAGGACCATGCCGGTGCAGAATGAGGATGGTATTCCCCGTATGAACGAGCTAGGAGAGCCTGTTGCAAAGTTGGTTTACAAGTTCTCGTTCAAATGGACGAGGAAG